GTAGGAAACCACCTTCCTACTTGGTTGAAGGGGATCCAGTCTTTAAAGTGGCCGACTGATCGCTTAGCCTGGAAACAGAAAACCAGTCGTCCAGGGGCATAGGTGGCGTGACTAACTACCTCGTACCTGTCCGCAACTATCGGCCATGCAAAACAGTCGGTATAGTATGCAATTGGATATCAGAGTTTCGATACTTAGCAAAGTCGAAACAAATTCGAAACGAAACAAATTCGAAACATTTTGGCAAAAAGGCGACCTAAAATAATGGTCGCCTGAGTTATATTAACAGCCGGCCAGAAGGACCGGCATAAATATTCATACCCCCGACCCCTTGGCCGGGTAAAAGATACAAAAAGAAGCCGGTCATTAAGACCGACAAAATATTCAAAACCCGGCCCCCTGGCCGGGTAAACAGAAACAAACGGCACGCAGGCCGTAAAAAGAAGACATAAAGCTTAAGAAGGGGGCAGATCTTCAATAATAGCAGCTGCCGCCTGGTCAGCACTCTTTTTGCTGGACTCGGCTTCAGCTGCATCCTTCTTCGATGCATCCACCCCAAGCGGCACAAGCGCCACTACCGGCTCCTCCTCCTCCAACGCCTCATCCTCAGCAGCCGCCAGGATCTCTTGATTATATCTATCAGAACACTGGCGGTACGTTTTTTCCCATGAGGAAAAGTCGGCATTGGGGAAGAGGCGGCCCCAGGTCAGGCGCTGGATCTGAGCAGAGTCTTCCATCATCTCTCGGACCAGCTCCTTCTTTCTTGCTCGGCCTTTGCCGAGAGCTCCTGAGTAAGACTCTTCTCCTGGGTCACCAGGCGTTCCTTAACGTGTGCCAAGGATTTCTCCAAGGTGTCGTATGAGGACATTTTTTGGCGAAGAGGTCTCAGCTCGGCCTTGAGATTGTTGATGGTCGCCTCCAGCTCATTATTTTCCTTCTGGGCCGCCTCCAACTGAGCCCGGATAGCAGAAGTAGCCTGCGCCTGATAATAAAGAATATCAGTTGTCAAAATCTCATTTTGGGCAATTTGAAACATTGCCTTATCACAGTCAGAGGCGGCCATAGCTTTTGCAGCCTTTACCTCTTTGTTCTTCCTGTCAAGCAGCTTGCGAAGACCGTTCACTCGGAGCAGGGCCTAAGTAAAAGGGAACAGGCGTCAGTTTTCAAACAAAAAACAGGCGTCCTGGAATTTAAATAACCAAAAATATGCTAAGTATACCTCAGCAAGGACCCCTGCAATCCCGTCTAGGTCAAGGGTGCCGACATCCCTGACCGCCTCCCTCTCAGCCGGAGGGACGGCTTTGATCATAGACTTGGCCACCTCGACCAAGTCTGGCTCCTGAGGGTCGGCTGCATCAAGCATAAACAAACGGGTTAGACCTAGTAAAGAAGGGAGCAAGTCTAAATTCACAAGGACAACTTCATACTTCTAGGCGGCCTGATTGGAGTTTTAGAAGGAGTGGACGGCTGTTTCTCAGCCGCCGCATGTTTCCTGGCAGTACCAGGAGAGCTCGCAACAGTCGTCCTCCGGGTCTTGGAGTCCGGTTGTTGGGAAGAAGAGGTTCTTGGATTGTCCGTCTGAAAAAAAAAAAAAAAAAAAAAACACTCGGTCAGTATATGCATAAACCCAACTCCAAAAAGAGAGTGAAAGGTTCGGAGCTCACCAAGGGCGCCCCCTTGTTGGGGGAGTCGGTTGAGGATTGTTGCATAATAGAGGCTCGCAACATGGCCGCCGCAGTCTTGGAAGCGGTGATCTTGCTCATGGCGTCCGCTACAAAGACAAGATACCAAGTTAATAAAAAGATAAACAGTAACTCATGGAAAAAAAGAGTATTCGACAGGCCGGCTACCTCTTGAACACCGACTGCTAAGGCCACAGGCGGCCAGAAAGTACTCGTCATAGAGCCATTTGAAGCTCGGGACGCAGTGCAGGGGTACTTGCTCTCGTACCCCTGTAGTAGAGTCGACCCTCGACTCTAATTTAAAGAGTCCTTTATCCAGGATCTCTTTCTTGGCTTTGGGGGGAACAGGCGGCATGCTGCGGCCGCCTGCAAGAAGAGGCGGATTCCTGTTCCACCTGTTGAAGCGCTTGTTCAGCTCTGTGTCTGAACTTTCAATGATAAGGAAGGTGCTTCGCCAATCCTTCCACTTGTTTGATTTACCTCTTGTCATGAGGTAGCCTCTGTGGCTCGTCAATTGATACCAGCCGGTACCGCCTGCCTTAGGGGTCCGGCTGAGGTAGTTCATGTGGGCGAAAGCCTCGAAGTTTGGCTCCACCCCGTGCAGTTCGCACCCGGCCACATAGCCGAGTACGTTGACCCAGGAGTTTGGGGCTAACTGCCATAACCCCAACTCATACCCATCCAAGATCCGCTGAACAGCCGGATGTAGTGGGAAGCGCAGCCTAGCCCTGATGGCCGCCTCGTAGCAGCCAAAGCAGGCGCTATCATAACTAGTACCAGCCGGCCAGACGAATGTGTCTTCTGGATCCGGCACGAAAACTAAAAAGCCGGGGCCCATTGTGTGGTTTGCAATAAAGCTCCCTACTCTCTCTTGCATGGCCGTGATCCGGCCCCGTGGGACAGTGCAGTAGTAAGGGGTATTTTGCTCTCGGTAAGAGGCGGATGGCTCCGCCCAATTGTCCCCCTTCTCAACTGCGTGAGAAAGCCTCGCCTCTTGTAGGCGGTTGTTTTTCTCTTTCGTGTCCAGAGAAGCATGACCAGAAGAACTAGACTCAGATTCTTCCTCTGACGAGTCCGAAGAGGACGACTCCTCCCTTCTCCCAGAGGGGCCCGCCTTCTCTCCTTCAAAAGGAGTAGAAGAGAATGTAGACATGTCAACTGTAAAATGGGAAGGGGTCACCTTGACCCCTCCCTCAGAACTGTCGGCTGTCAAGCCGCCTTGGTTCACTTCCACATCTGGCGCTTGGTCAGATGTTTCACTAATCGGCACCCTGTGGGAGGAGCCGTCTGAGTTCGAGATCCTAGCAGTTCTTTTTGTTCTGGCCATCATGTTCTGCATAGACACAGAGACAGTCGGACTTTGTATAAAGGGCAAAGATGGGTCCGGAAAAGGCAGGCGGCACTCCTAGTCCTAGATTTAGCCGTCCCCGGTGACCGGCTGATCACTAACCTAGGTCGTGTCGTGTGCTTCCGTGGTGCCATTTCAAAAAAGAATAAAATAAAGAGAAAATTAAGAGTAAGAGAACCGACGGTTACCTGAACGAGTGAAGTTGACGGAGTTCTGAAAATCCTGAGTAGCCGGCTTGTCAGAGCAGGCGGTAGGCAGAAAGAGTCCGGAATGTCAGAGCAAGTTCAGGGGTCCGAATGTTCTCTCTAAAAAGTTCTCAAGTGTGAAAATGATTGAAGTCAACACACCTTTATATAGGCAAAGTGAGAAGGCGAAGGGTCACTTCCAAAATTCAAAATTTGGGTGGGAGAATCTCTCGGCCTTTCACCGAGTGACACCTGTAGCAGGCCGTCGCCTGTCACGGTGCGACACCTGTCACAGGTAACACGTGACCAGTCACGTGCCACCTGCGAGGGGCAAATGATTAGGGGATTTTTATCCACCAATCAGCATCCGACACGTGGGCCAGCCAGGTTTCGCCACGTGTCCTTCATGTAGGCCAATAGGAGCCTGCCACGTGTCATCAAGAGATTCGTCCTCTTTGGACCAATTGCAATGTGACACGTGTCCACCCATGCCAAATGGGAAAACCGGCCAACAAGGCCCAATCATTGTGGGAGGCCCAGTCAGCCTTAGGTTTAACCTAAACCTAGTACTGGCACGCATCCCAAGGCATATAAATATGCCCATTAATCCTCATTAAGGGAGAGGACGCACATTTAACACTCTCACCTAGAGAGACTCAATTACTTTTATTTCCGCATTAATTACTCCTTAATCAAGTACTAACTTGACCGTCGAAGGCGGATCTCCAATCGTCCGGAGCATCCGTTTGTTTTGCAGGTACAGGCGTTCGGTTCCAGTCTCAGAATTGTAACTCTCCCGCAGGACATCAGAAAACCCCGAAACAACAATAACAATAAGAATTAGTACGTAGTTTTTATATAAATTAAATTTTTAAAAATAATTATAATAATAGTAGATTACTTGGATCAATGAGATCCCAGGTAGGAGAGGTTAGGAGCGACGTTGTCCAGAGCCCAAGTCCCGCCTTAGACAGATTTCAACAATCCAAATAACCCACAATTAGAATAGAAAGTAGTTTTTATATAATTAAGTAGTTCCAAGAATACAATAATAATAATAATAATAATAATAATAATAATAACAATAACAATTTAAAATAAAGTTGAGTTAGATCTTACAATGACGCTTCAATGCTTTCCCAAATTTATAATTTCTCGAACTTATAATTTCCCGAATGTAAATATAACAATTTTTTTTTTGGTAGTAGACTAATAAAAGTAATAATAGTAAAAATGTAAAATTTATAAGAGAGTAGGAATTTTTTTTTTTCTTTTCACAAAATAGAGCAAGATTGTATGATTTGTAGGAATTTGAGAATTAAGAATTTGGGAGTAAGAAAATTAGAGAATAAGAGAGAAGAGATGAGTTGATGAATCGTGAAAATTTTGGAGGAAAATATGAGGTATTTATAGGGAATTTGGGTGGGAAATGGGATGGAAAACTAGCCGTTTATAGCTGTTGGAAAACGGCTAGTTTTCCAACGGTCATTTGGCACGGGCCGTGCCGTGCCTGGCTCGTGCCGTGCCCGGCCGTGCCAGCGTGCCGGCCACCGTGCCACGTGCCGTGCCCGTGTCAAAATCCAGAAACTTGTTTACGGCACAGCCCACGGCCCACAGGTGGGCCGCCGTGCCGTGCCATGCCGGCGACCGTGCCGTTCCGGGCCGTGCCGGAGTCGTGTTGGGCCCGTGCCGCCCGCATGCCGGCACGGCCCGTGCCCATGTTTACCGGTTAGTATTATGCTCATAAGTCATAACCTTCCTTAGGCTTAACTAAGTAATTAGTAACTCAAGGGACCCTAAACGAGTAAACGCTGCGCAAATCCAAACACAGTGAATCTGGGAATTTGGAACGAGATCGAAGAACAACATTTGAAGCTTCACCCAATTCATCAGTCAGGCAAGTCTCTCATCCATTTTATCTCTCTTCTCTGCTGAATTTACGCATTACGAATGTTAGCAGTTTAGCTCAATGCCTCATAGTTGGAGAACTAATCATTCCTGAAGAAAAAACAATGACTCTTCATTTTTTAAGAAGAACCCTAACATCTTTTTCACTCAAACATGAATCTTCCAATTTCATCAATCTGCCCAATTTCCCATTTTTCTCAACTCAAGTGACCCAAATTGAAAAACCCAATTGCGAATTTACGAATTATTTGATTACTCACCACAATTTCTCTCAGAAAAATGCTTCAAAAACAGCTACTTGTTTGACCCCGGACTATAAAAATTCCGATTTAGTTCTCGGTTTTTTGAAAAGTAAAGGAATTTCGGGTACCCAGTTGGAGGAATTAGTCGTACGTCATCCTCGTGTTCTTGCTGTTGATATTAACAAGTCTGTTGGTGTTAAAGTCAGTAGAATTAAGGATTTAGGTTTCTCAGATGATGAATTGGTTGATTTATTGTGTTCTGTTCCGATTATATTGACCCTGTCTCGATCAGTTGAACGTGTCGTTTTGGCTATTTCTGTGTTGCAAAGTATATTGGGTTCAAACTGTGATGTTATTAAGCTGTTAAAGCTTTGCAATTGGTTTCTTAATAATGATTTGGATAAAAGTCTGCTGCCTAACATTCAGTTGATGGAGAAATGTGGGATTAGCAAATTGCAAATTAGGCAAACTCTTCTTAGTTTTCCTAGGTTTTTCTTGGTGCAACCTGATTTTATGAAGGATTGTATGAGGAGGGTTGATTCGTTGGGGTTGGGAAGAAATTCAAAAATGTACATTCATGGTGTTCGGGCTGTGAGTTCTATGACGCTAGAAAAATGGGCGTCCAAAGTGAAGCTATTTGAAACCTTGGGTTTTAGAGAAGACGATATTCTGTCCATGTTTCAAAGAACACCTCAGGTGCTTACTATATCGGAGAGGAAGATTTTGGAGGTTTCCAAGCTGTTTCTTAGCTCAGGGAGTGTTGATGTATCATATTTGGTTCAGCATTCTGAATTGTTAATTTATAGTGCTGCTTTTAGGATTAAGCCTCGCTTGGATATCATCAATGTACTCTTGTCAAAGAATTTACTTCACAAGGAGCCTAGGCCGACTACTCTATGTAAGATTAGCGATAAGAAATTCATCGAGAAATTTGTGCTTCCATATGCTAGTGAAATTGGTGATATTGGTAAGAAATTTCTTGTTAGCACAGGTTTTGGATCTTCTTTTGGTATTTAGACTTTAGAGAAGAAATTTTCTATCACTTGGCTTTGATTTAATGCGATCAAATTGAAGTTCTTCCATCACACCATTATTTCAAATCAGGTACCACCTATTCTGTAATTTTTTATGCTTGTTGTTTGTATCAGAATTTTGCAAAGATACACTGTTATTAATCTTCCGCTCGGGCTTTCACTAGTATTACTTTTTGGTAGTTCAATGATTCTGGCTACTTTCATTCATGACTTTCACTTTTATCATGTAGTTTCACATCTGTAAAAAGTGAAGGCCAATGATATCAATGCTCAAACAGCTGGTCAGCTGTCAATCCTGATCTGGGTTTGCATGGATTAGATTGATTTTATTTAAACTCATGTATTGAGCTCTTCTTGCTTCCCTGTTACTTGAGAATTGCATCCTTGTAACCTTATGGGATAAATTTTATGACATGGGTTTGATAATTTTCTACCTCACTTGATTCTCGTATTTTGGTTAGAGAAATTTGCTATGGATTGTTCGGCAAGCATGTTCTGATTGCTTGGTTATCTTCGGAGCTTTTTGATGTTTTAATTATGAATCTAATCACTGCTTGTTTTCGAGTCTTCTGACATGGATAAAGATAAAGCATATGACAATCGCACTTGAATCAATTGTTTTTATCATGTAGCAGGGAATAGTAATCTCTTTTGCATTGGCCTTGTATATTAGTGAATGGCATTTTTTAGGGACATTATAACTTCTTCAGCAAAGGAGATAATTTCGGCAAACTTCAGTCTCAGCTTGAAGACATGAACTCTCTCTATATAGGTATTTATTCTCCAAGAGTGAGAGGAGAGAGAACAATCCTAGTTAGTACCCAGCCTTGCCTCTCATGTCCATTTGAGCCGCATTGTATCCAATTTTAATCTTGAAGCTGATCGTTTCTCTTCCTTTTCCGTTTGTTAGTAAGCTAGACATTGTACATCATTTTTTATTTCTTTTCAACTTTGGACCCCATCTGCTTTTTAGTGTGCTCTTGTCTTGGTTTCACTTATTCAGTAGCAGACAGACCCCTGAGTACTGATGGAGAATTTCATCATCGGGCCAGTTTCACGATTCATCAATGACCTTCAATCATGTTGATTAAGTTGTTAGCAGCCCTATCTTTGCATTTTTATTTATTACTATATATGGAACAGAATCATGGTTAGTTTGACCACCTAGGCTGTGTTATCCCCACCTTTCAAGGATATATTGGTTGGGGACTGTGGTTTCCTCAATCTGGTTTTTACGGTTTGGTATTCACATGTTTTTCTGTCTTGAAGTGGTAAACTGGTGTATTCTGCTTCCTGTTCCACTAGACAATAGCTTCTGAGAGCAGTAAATTTTGTTGGTGTTTATGCTGCTGTTGCAAGGTTGAAGACTTGAGATTTCCTTTGGGTCTAAGCTTTTCATCAAATATTGGGCCACATTTAGATGAAGGTTTCTATGGAGGAACATATATTGTTCTTCTTTGCATGCTAGATCAAAGTGGTCAATGCCGACTGCTGTAGATTGGCAATTGTCTAAAGATGTTATCGCTACTAGTTAATTGAAGTATGGGTATTGCTTGTGGAACTGTGTTGGTGGTTGGTGTTGCTGCTGTCCATTCTACTACTAGAGATGATGCTGTTGATTGTGGGTCTTGCACTCTTGCTGCCATGGATCTAGCTGGTGGATCCCTTTATTGCTAAATTTCTGTCACGTAGCTCTTTGTTTTGTTTTGCTGACTCTGTAATCTGCTTGGGTGATTCAGAGGCGGTTTTGGTTTGCTTCCAATGTCATTCTATATCTTACCCTGCCCCTCGTTTGGGCATTGCATGTCTCCATCAGACTCCAACCACCAGCTGCTTTTTCCTCGGTTTTCCTCTGGGTCATCCTTGGTCTGAGGCTTTGGTTGGGTTACTTACTTCCAAGTTCTGTTTTCTCTATTCGACTGAAGCGCTTCATGACTGCTGTTGTATAACATTATTACTGGGTTTTACCTGATAGAGTAGATTTACTCTATAATATTATTTTAAATAAACCGATCACCAAAATATTTGTAGAAACTAGAAAGTGTAGTTCCAAGGAGTTGAGCATAGTTAATCTCACGTCATCATCGTAACAAGTTAGCAGATTCATCAGGATTAATCAGTTGAATTTCGCATTTGGACAAGATGTGGTAAACATCTTCATAAGACTTTGTGATGCCGGCCCAGCAGGCTGTAAGAAATCTCATTTGTTCGCAAATTGTTATAGGGCCATAATGTTCTGTGCATTGTTGATATAGTATGGTTTCTGCCTTCTTGCAACTAAATTTGATCACATTTATTATGTAAACTTCTTGCTTCCAATGTTATTCTACGGAGTATTATCTACTGATCTACAATGATAAGAACATGAAGAAAAGCATTCCATTACAATCATTTTCAACTTCTTTCGTAATACGTAGTAGAAAGTATCATCATACTAGTATTATTTTTGTGAAGGGCAACAATTTCTTTTGTGCCAGTGTACATCGTTAAGCTACTGTATATTTAAGGGCCTAGACTGATGGCCCAATAACCATAACTACTTTGGTAAGAATAGATTTTTGGCCATAGACGATGCCCACGATGGTAGTCAACTAGTCATATGGACCTCGGCCAAGACCAAGCCTAGATAGGCTCACATCGCCCTTGAAGTTCAATTGACAAGTAATTTTATGGAGATTAGGCTTAGGGAGTTAATAAGGAGCGCTAATGACCCAAGTCCTTGAGCTCTGGCTTCAAGTTCGTTGACCTTAGAACATTGAGCTTCCTTGAGACTCTAAAAGGTAAGCTCAACTTGGATTGAGGTTCAATTGCTTAGGAGTTTTCCTGTACTGTGCCTACAGAATTTGGCAAAGCAGCACCACGCCACCACTAGCCAACAAGCACCGAAGGCTAGTGTTGCTATGGCTAGCATTTCATTATCATATTGGCATTGCTACAAATTAGCACCATAAGGTCCATAACTAGAATTAACACACTGACTTGTAATTAAGGTTAACAGAATCCTAAATTTAAACTTTATTCTATCCTTTTGAACAATTTCATATCCACCTAAAATGCCATTACTTTTTATATACTGTTAATTTTAATAATTTTTTTTAACCTTTTAAATTTAAAGCATACATCACGTGCAATAATCAAATTACTAAATACTTTGTATATAATACTAACTTTGAGCATTATTTTTAACGGGTTGACGTATCGGCCTCATTGTTTAGCCTTGAAGTTTTCATATTCTTCAAGCTAGCTAGTGGCCCAAACAAGTGATTCTCTGGTCCAATTTTCACTTAAAAGCAAACCAAACGAAGTTCAGTTCAAGAAGTCATAAGGTGACAATGCTATAAAGTTCTAACCAAATTTGACTACCAATGCTTTCATTATCTAGCTAGCATCAATCTGTCCCCAAAACATGTTGATCAAGATTCATAACCGAAAACGAAAGCCACTCAAAGCAAAGAAAAAAAAACAGTATAAAGATCTCACAATAAGTCAGAAGAGACTCAAAAACTCGAATAATCGAGTAAAAGCAACGAAAAGCAAAAGGAAAATTTTGATAACAAACAGTTGGCTAGCTAAAGAACAACAACATGTACAAAAGATAAATGTATATATAAACAAACATATAAGCAAATCACAATAAGATATCATGCCATCTTCCGATGACATGGGGTGAATTCTCGATCACCAATCGTTTTTGTGGTATTATATCATACCATACCATATCATATCATATGCCATTTTACAAAGCTAAGATTCAAAGTAGGTCAGATCGATCATATATATCTAATATGTAATTTCTTATATGACGACTTTTTGCACCACGTATCCTTATCTTTTTTTGTACGTGATAGATGTTCATCCCATGTGACCGAACCACCTGATCAATCGATCATTCGTGTACAACTTTAAGATAAATTACAACTTCTTTGACAAATTTAATCTATGAAGACAAATGATGCCTATACAACATAGGTGATCTTATGTATATAAGCTTGTTCTTACAACCACGTTTAACTATATATGATTTCGAAACCAATGGTTAGTAACATTGCCAGCTGCATTGGTACCAATTATGTGCTATTTTTAGCAGGGCCAATTGAAAGTTTAGAACATGATGCAAGAAAATTGGAAGCTACTATAGTACTAGTTTTTAGTGTATAGTATATGACTTGGGAATATGCAACCCTCAAATTAAAGCCTATTCTTATAAATTATTTGCTCCTTCATTCACTTGCTTTAGCTTGTTCCTTTTTCTCTGGCATGGGTTAGATTATGTTATATAGTACATAAGGTTAGATTACTACACTAGCTCAAGTGTCAGTCTCTCACGATCATAGAATCGATCTAGTCTTCGACCAACTTTTCGACATATGATGGATTGCACAAGTTTAAATTTAGTATTGTAGAGAGAATTAGTGGTTATTATGTTCTACTCAATTTTGTTTTAAAGGCGGCTACCTTTGTGTGAGAATATACGATGTACCTAGCTTGTTTTTGTAACCAATTTTTTGTTACATATCAAGCAAAAGAACAAATTCACATAACCTAGAAGCTAATTACTACATATTGAACAAATTAGAGAACATTTACTCTCAATACATTCAGATTTAGAAGGGCTTGAATGCCTGTGCAAGCTGCTCGCCGAGACAAGCTAGATGGCATCATCATTGATGAGACCATACATTAGTCCAGGCCATTGGTACCTTCTTATCTAAGTTACTTTCTAAGTTCGCGATCATCACTGTTGTTAAGCAAATTATCAGTGATTAGAAGGGTGTCAATTGCCATCAATTTGCTCACTATATATCCGCACTCTTATGTCCATAACAAGCCTTTTTAGTCTTGAACAATCCTTATCTACAAAAACCTTAACTAATTTAAGGTAATTACTGACTTAATTTTTGTCTGAAATAAAATTTCAAATTAAATATACTTCCTTCGTTACACATTATTATTTTGCAATATATCTTTTCATATTCAAACTTCACAAACTTTAGTTGTGCATTCATTCATACAGTTGAAAAAAAAATTCATCATCAAATGAGATCACGTCTTATTTATTTTAATGCATCGGTAGCTTCAAAATATTAGTACTTAATTTTATATATTTTTTACTTATGCTGTTATCAATGATACTTCTATATGATTATCATTGAAAAATAAAAATTGCATATAGGTCCGAAAAAAAAAACCTAATTATTAATTAATGCGACAACTAAATACGCGGGAACATACATCTACGAGTATAATTTAAGCTAAGGTTGATTAGAGAATAAGAACATTACAATTAAAATTCCTAACAAACATACTTTCTTAGTTTCTTATGTACAATATTCCGAGTATCTCCAATAATTTTCTATACAACTCGGTATGTTCATACATAATTATATGTGACATTCTCATGGTTGTTCTAGAACCCATCATTACAAATCAATGGCTCAAAAAGTTTCATACACGAAACGTGACATAATGGAGAATCTTATTATGAAATTAAGATGAAAAAAACCGTTGTTTTTGGGACACGGATTTGCACTATAATAGTCGCCATAAACCTAATTAAATTACAAATTAATCAAAATTAAAGAAGACCTAGAATTATGAGCTGATGATGAAAGTAAATTTCCCTGTTTATACGGATTCGAAGTAAGAATCATTACTCTATATAATGGACCTTAAAAATCTCTTTAACTTTTTGTTAGCTTAGCTTCATTCTGAAAATGCCAGCCTATTAAATCATTATTACAAATAAAATAACCAAGATTTGGTGTACTGAAAGTTAATATAATTATTGATCTAGCATAACCAATACTACTGTTTAGTTAAATAAAATAACCAAGATTTATAATTATTGTTAGTTAAAGAAATCAAAGATCGATTATGACGCAAACCGCGATTGGCTAATCTTAGCCATCGAAAGTTCTTCTGGTATAGGGCACAACCTCGCTGTGCAGACATCTTATCCGTTTGTTTCCTACAGCGAGGTCATTACGATCATCTTTATATATCTATCAATATACATAATTATATGTGTTTATTCACGCAACATGTGCGAATCTAAAATTTGAATGGTGGAGCACCCCTTACGGCCGGTGGATCTAGCCATTATTTATTTTTATTACCTTAAGAGCGCGAGCTCATTTGATAATAATCAATCGAATCGAACAGCAACTATTCCTTAATTTTGTAAAAGAAAAGATTAGTATTCTGCATTCAGATCCCCAGGTAATGAAAGGAGTTTTAAGTTTTGGGGACCAGCCTTGGTGAACGGATTAATACACACGTATAAACTCGCTTTATTATAACAAACAATTATATTAATCAAAATAATTAGTTTATGTACTTGGAAGAATTAAATTAAATGTAATGTTTTTATTTGGAGTGGTTTAAATTATGCAGGGATCTTGTACTGTGGTTTTAGTAGTGTGTGTAGCAATCTTAGGCGGCAGAGGTGCTTCTGAATTGTTCTTATTATTCTTTGGAGTGTACAGAATACTAGTACGTGTATATTTCTTATGTAATGGAGATTATAGTATATAGTACGGAGTATAATAATTGGGTATGATATGGTGGGAGAAAAGAGATGTATGTACATTGAAAAATAGCTGCTACTTTTTAGGAGAGTGATTGTGAAGGTGGTAGGGAGCTATGTTTTTGAGTTTGGGGATTGATATTAGGTATAGGTATGTGTTCGAGTGTCATATCAGTTTAGTTATTTGTATGTTTTTTTCAACTTGAAATATTAGGGCGTTGTAATAATACTTTGTTATTACTTGCACTCTACTAGAAGTACCTAATTAACGCGACTTGTTAGGTTATGTTTTGAATATGTTATATACAATGGACGACTATAATGATGATTATTTTAACAGTTTATTTCGTTTTTGTTTATAGAGTTATATATAATTAAACTCCTTAAGTTTAAAAATATCATGCTGTATAATATATATGATTTCATCATGATCGGTAAAACTTTTCTCACCTATTTGTGGATGTAGCTGACACATTGCTAGTGAAACAAGTTAAATCTATGTGTTTTGTTGTTTTTAATAACTTTTTCACATCTATTAGAACAAGTAGTTGCGTGCCCAATTAAGTTTCACATACGACAATGTAGGGGAAATGAGATGATCGTCTAAATGTAGAGTATCCAACACATGTAGTTGAATGATCTAAAATAAAAGGTAGAATAATATGTCCATACGTACACGTACACACCCTAGTCTAAAATCCAACACAGATACTCATTGAGAAGGGTATATTAAGTAAGAAGAGAAATAAAAGGGAGTTGGTATATTAGGTTTAATAAGACTTAATGACAAGGTTTAGGCTAGAACAAGTGTACTATTTCCTCCAATAATTGGGGGTAAAGAGTAGCTTTGTTTAATTATATATAATTAATAAGAGCACCAATGATGGGAGATATAAGGCCTAAGTGGAGCTCTTTCTTTACACGCCTGAATGAAAAGAGGCATAGATTTTCATGGCTTGGACATTGGAAGCATTATTTTTGGTGTCCCCATTACTCTACTATTATGTCTTCTTCACATCAAACTCTTATTTCTCTCTCCTCTTTTCTAGTGGAAGCCAACTCCTCTTTCAACCATTTTTTAAAATTTTTCTTCTTAAATTTTCTGTTCATCTCAATGTTTTTTAGTGGGTTTCCCTTTCACCACCTACCCTTTTTTCAATAATTATTATATATATAAATATATTTTATGTTAATTATTATTTAATTATTAAAACTAATATAATTTGTGTAATATCCACTAATATATATCTAGCTAGAGTCTAGACTTGGAAACAACAATTAACAACCTTTGAGGTGGGATCGGTTGAATCTAGGCACCCAATCACAAAGTATACATTTTTGATTGGGAGCAATTGCCTCGTAATGTTCATTTTGTTTCTAACAACTCAAATCTTATAAAATCTTGTCTCCTTTTTACCTCCCTAATATATTCACATATATTCCTTGGATCAATTGCTTCTTTACAAAGTATTAACCATTAGCTTCATATAATTGGCCTTGTGATTAATAATTTTCATGTATCGAGCTAATCCATTTCTTTCTCACTAACAATGCTAATCCACGTTACTCGAACAATGTATTTTACTTGGTTACTCATGTCTATACCTCGACATGCAATCAAACTTATGTATTGACATTTTTATAACACCTATTTCGGCATTTAATTTGGAGTAAAGACATGACAATATGTCATAAATTATTTTACGTTATTTTATTTAATAATTGAACACGTCGCACAACATGAGTCCAAGTAACACAGTTATTTTATTGATTATACAGTATTTGAAATTATGGAGAATGGTGCAAGAGAAAGTTCAAGAAAAGAAGCGAAAGCTTTTCTTACTCCTTTGCTTAAAACCTTGAAGAGATAGCTAAAAATTGTCGTATTAGCCTTTCGAATTATGTGTAATTTTCTTTTGATGTACTACCTCTGTTACAGGTTATGTGCAACGATTTGACATAAAACAGAGAGGGAAAATGTCTAATCGTTGCACATAGTAACGGAGGTAATATGCTTTTCTATTGTGTAAAAAAAAAAAAAAAAAACCAAGCCTTGAACCACTCAAGCTCTTTTGTTTTTTTCTGTTATTGTACCATCATTTAGTGATTTGTGTAAAAGACAGTTAAAATGGATATACAGGGATAATGTGATATCTTTTTTTGCTTTCATACATTTGTACTTTGTCCATTATTGGTACTAAAATTTATCAGATGTAATCCAGTAAGATAAATGGAGAAATGAGTTAGTTGGAACTTGACAAATTTCCCTGGAAGGCATAATCAACTTTTTATTTGTCATAGTCTATCGTTCTAGATAGCGTTTTCGTTTTTTTAAAAAAAAAAATTATGTATATCACTCGTACAAATCACAGTACATTGTACATGAACAATGAGTACTTGTATAAGATGTACTAAAACAAAGTCAATCGCGATTAGGTAAGTCACTCTTGGAAAAAAAATATACATACATATGTGTACATCCGATGTATCATCGAATTTATATTTCCTTAACAAGTGCTAGTATGTTAGATTGATGTTGATATGTTGTTTGGCAAGCCTATTATACAAATTTATAAATTTATGCATTCTAAAAATAGAATTATGATCTCAATACTTATCCATGTAATTTGGACTTAGTAGTCAGCAAATTCTATTTATGGAACACCATACTTCCCTTTTAGATGGGATCTTTTCCTGACTGATGAGCTAGGTGCCTACATTTTACTTCATCCTAACAAAAATTCTCTAATGCCTTGATTAATCAAATAAAGTGAAAACGACTAGGTTTCCACTTGAGTGTCAACATTAGAGAAGTGGTAATTGCTCGCGCCCATTGGAAAGATAGGGCGCGAGCAAGTCACTTGCTAATTGTTTTTTTCCAAGTTGGAGAAGCTCCAAATCTTAGCCGTTATGTAAAACCTTTAATCATTACCTTATAATGGAAAGCTTCTTCCAGAAAAAAAAATAAAAAATAAATGAAAATGCTAGCTATTAGAATCATTTGAGGGAAGTGGTAGTGTGCCTTACATGACTAGAAAAGTTTGACAATGATGTTATTTACTTTGGCTCTGACTTACATCCCCTAGAGCCACTTAATGACTTGGTATGCTACTCGGACTCTTTATAACTCATGTCAAGTATGATACTTATATCATATACATGTATGTCAAAGTGTTAAACTCGAGTTTATGAAAATTTAATTCTCTGTTGTGTGTCAAGTCATGTTTACACCCACAATATTGAGGATCCATCCTATTACTGGTGCAATACTGGAGGTAAAATGAAGAGCCTGATTATGCTGGATTGAAGTTGGATATCTCTGACTCTTTTTCCAATAACTTTTACAACTGTTCAATATGGCTCACATATGTTGCTCAATAAAATGCTTCTAGTGCAAGTACAGCAGACTTACAACACACTACCTCTGATAATACTGTTCTTTACCTTTAATTTAAGCATTAATAATGTAATTAATCAAGTAATTAATAATTAAAAAGTATTAATTTTGTATAGAGTTTAAGTATAGCAGCCAAACTGACATTGTTTTTTTTAGGTAATGGTGGCTAACTGACACAGTGACACTTGTAAATTAATTTTTGATCTTTCTTTCAGTTTCAGGTGGGATGCAATTATTATGATGCTTTGTGGTATAATCTTTTATGTATTAGCTTACTATTATGGCATAATATCTAAACTATACATAAAGATGATACTCTTTATCTTTTTCTAATTATTCTGCAGTTTATTTGCATTTTATCTTAATGAAACAAACAGAATTTGATCCCAGTGTATCAGATTTTACTTGGTTTTTTTTTTTTTTTTTTTTTTTTTTTTTTTTTTTTTTTTTTTTTTTTTTTTATATTAAAGTGTGTAATGGATCAATGATCTCTGGTAATTGGTACTCTTACACTCTCTTTTTAGATATGGTACCTTTGCTTTCACATTTTAGAGCTTGGAATTTTGATTAGTTTTTGCCGTATAGGTCTTGTATGTATGCATCGAGTTTATTAATTAAACAGAGATAATGTAAAGTTATCATGTTGCGAAGCTGACTTTTATGTGATTTGAGGTGACTGGAATTATTATTTTGCAATACACGTATGAAAGTTTTTATATTAGCCTCCGATCTCATACCCAAGTTGTAGGAGGGAATCGTCGGGGAGAGAAAGTTGAGAGGAGGGACTTTAGCATATTTATTTGACTAATGGCAAATTGCTTCTAAAGTTGTATATTCTAATTAAATGGGAAGTTTGGAAATAAATAGTGAATTGAAGATCTTAATATTCGCAATTTACATTACCTAAACAAAGAATCATCATAGAGACGACAAATATCTAAGTGTTCTATTTATACTTTTTTTACTTAAAAAATAGCTATGACAAAAGCAAGGATATAGATTGATATAAAATTATGATTCAAAAACTAAAGATAAATTTCATAATCCATATATATGATATTCGGAATTTTGTGACTTTTCTATAAGATGGATAAAGAGTGTTGTAAAAATTGCACATGGTACGCTTGTTGTATGGACTATATATCCAATTAAGTGCAAGTGGTAACCTTTTTATCAAATTTTCAACAAAGAACATAATTAATTCTATTAGCTTCCTTATAATTTTTCGAGTCAATTGCAATCTCGAGAGACAAACAAAAGAATCAATGATATGTGAAAGATTTATTCATAGTGGACCATTAAAAAGAAATATTTTTAAATGACCATCTTTATGGTAGTTTTTTTAGAGCTAATGAAGATATTGGAAGGGTTTAAAATAAGATGTTGGAATTTTCCATTAGAAAAAGTTATATCATACTGTATAAAACGTGTAGTAACTAGTTCACTTCATATGTAGTTTGATTATTAAATAAGGATGAAGGAGCGAAGGTATGATTAGCTTTTAACTCTTGTCTGCCCCTCCTTTTATTGTCAGGGGTTCGATCCTCATCCCCTTCCATTATAAAAAAAAATGTAGTTCGATTAAATAATTTTCATAATTAATGGTCAAGTCAAAATCCAATTCGATTATAAGTAAGTTGTTGACTTGAAGTTCGGTATGCAAAATGGAATAAATGAAAGTGATGGATAGATCAAACTATCAGTTTTATAAAAACTTATATTTTAAAACTAGATAAAGAGAAGGCGACCTAATTATGATCAATTAATAATGAATTTAGGCAATTGTTCTATATATTTTGAATATATTAAGCTCCATATACAAAGAAGAATGGTTTCTTCTCGGATACTCTTGCATATTCCTTGGAATTTGTTATCAGACAACCATCTTCAATAGTTCAATGGTTTTCTTTAACATGTATAATAAACGTACACAGAATGTATAGGATTCGCTAGTTCAATGTTGTGGTTGCTTTATGCTCCAAGAATATATACAATAAACTCATAATTATAAAAGTAGATGTAGATTCCAATTTGCAATATATATTTTCCACTAATATATTCACCATGGAAAATTAATAATTACATAGGTTATCCTGAAACTTACGACCCAACATTTAACTACTTAACAACAAAATCGGAGGGGGAGTATTTGATTTTCAAATTCCCCCTTTTTTCCCTCCCTACGTACTAATATTACTTATTACTTGCTTAACTTCTATTCATTCCATTGCCGTAAACAAAAATTAAAAACTAATTACACAATCAACCCCATTAACAAAAATATTACGGGGTTTGAAGTTGATTGTTCTTGTTTAATTATCTTCATCAAGTCCTATAGTAACCGCGTTGAGATATTTGCTTCCATTCCACCATCCGTTGTAGAAAGCACATTACCTAAGAAAAAAGTCGAGTTTTTAAAACAATAATTAGTAACTATTAAGTACGATTAGTCGGGACAAGTACTAATTTATGATTAATAATCGAGATTATAATATAGTAAATTAATTACCTCAGAGGGGTCTTGTAGGGTATACGCAGCAGAAGTTTCCTTAGGAAACTTTGAAACAAGTATACCAAATCCTTGTTTTTTCTTCCTTAGAACTTTAAATGCATCTTCGTCGGTTTTATCATCTCCAATGTAAATTGGTAAAACATCTTTAGAGTTTGCATAACCTGTTTAAAATTAAATTATAAAATAAAGTTAATATAAGATTTTAAAAAAATAAAAAAAAATTATAAAAAAAATATAACAAAGTTAAGGATATTTTATAATATAAGGTAGCAAAAACTTACCAAGTGCCTCCAACAAAAATTCAAGTGCCTTGCCTTTGTCCCATTTAATGGTGGGCTTGATTTCTAGTACCTATAATTTCAGTCAAACAACACAAATATCATGAGAATAGTTTTATTTTATCATATAATAAAAAATTTTAAATGTAATATTAAAATTTAATATATTATTATGTAGATTCTACATACCTTTCTTCCATAGTTCATTTTCAGCTTAGGATAGTCACTGAGAACTTCTTTCACTAGCTCAGCAAGTTCAGCCCATTTCTGAAAATTTATACAAGTAACGATTACTATACCGTAACAAAAAAAACCCGAAGTGACTCGACTCGAAATAAAATACTACCTCCGTTATAGATTATGTGCAGCGATTTGACATAAAGCAGAGAGGGAAAATGTCTAATCGTTGCACATAATATGTAACGGAGGTAGTATAATTGATACGTTACAACAAAATATACCTTCTCTTCAACGCAGCGAAAATGGACTGATAAACAGAACTTGTTACTTTCAACTTTAGCACCTTCGATAAACTGAGTTTTCACGACCAACTTTTTGTACACTTGATTGATCATTGGTAAAAACTCGCTAGCAGGCTGGCATACGACCGATTTATCGTTGGTACCGTGTGCCGGCCCTTCGATGTCCATACCGTGGCTACCCGCGTAATACAACTCCTTAAGCTTCACAAAGTCGTGAACCTAACGAAAAACAAAAGTACAACAAATAATTATATTTTTGATCGATAGACCAAGAAAAGAAATATATATTTATATTTACTATATACGATTTGTTGAACTTAATAGTGTATGTTCTAAAAATAGAAAATTATAAGTTTGTAATGTACCTTGTCCTTGCCTCGCCCGCTTACAATAGCAGTAGGAAAGTATCTTGCCACTGCCTTCACCGCGGCTCTCATCTGGTAAAAATTAAACAATCGAATTAATTAGAAAATGAATGTCACGGCCAAGTATTATTTTTAATAGCATCACGTTTGGTAGGTGGTAATAAATGACGGTAATGGTATAAACAAACCTCGTCAGACATGAATGCGCGATCAGGGTCTTGAACAATGGGTGAAAGAGTACCATCGTAATCAAGAAACATGACAATTTTCTTTCCTTTAGATGCTTTCGTGATCTCGTCGAACATTTCCAATGCTGATGGGTGTGTCACCTGATTATCATACCATTTCATAATTTTAGATTTCGTAATAATAATAATAATAGTAATAAGGTAAAATTAATGGTAATCAAATTTGTTTTATGTTATTACCATCCAAGAATCATGCTCAGGAGAAGAAGGGGGAGATTTAGCAGGAGAAGAAGCTCTCATGGAATCAACCCAAGCATTAATCTTAGTTGGACCGCCTTGAGTTTCAAGCTTTTTAACCGGCTTTCGGCGTATAAAACGCCCGGCAGACGAAGCCGGGGGCTTCGGCACAGCCGGGGGAAATAGTGATTGATTAGACATAGCAGCGATGGCAACAGCCACTTTCATGCTCGATTTTGCATCGGAAACGACTACATTTTGGTTAGTCATTTTCTCTGGTTGTTGTTGGTGTTGTTGTTGTTGTTGCTTCTTCTGATCAAAAACAATAACAAGAAAAGGAAAGAAGAATTTAAGAGAGAGAAGTAGTAAGTAAAAGTAGAGAGAGAAACAGGGGAGAGAAAAACAGGGGAAATGAAATGAAATAAGAGAAAGAGTTGGAAGACACAAGTAAAAAGAAAGGGGGGAAGTGGAGTCAATTTATAATTTGTTCGAACCACAAACAGACGAAACTACCTCTTCCTTTCCAGCTCTTTGTATTAGAGTTACTTTCAAAAGCATAAGTATTTCTTTTAATGCTTCATTTTTATGGACCCTACATTCTATGTTCTCTTCTTGCCCCCACCATATTATAACATTTTTTTATGTTTATGTATATTATATCAAAATTGAATGAATGAATGAGTGAATGGATGAATGGATGGAGGATTCCTATTTTCTACTATTTCTATATATTACTTATATGAGTGATACCAATCAATAATAAAGGATGTTATTGAGTGACAATTATGTAATAGAGACATCATAATTTTAATAGCTTACATTCATATTGTTTTGAGTTCGGTATTTGAACACCCTAAGGAACTGAAAGTGACAATCAAACGGATTAGTGACAATCACGATGATAATGATTATGAAAAATACTTCGAAACTTCAGTTTTATGTGTTAATGCATGTTTGATTAGTGATATGTATCGATACTAAAGTAGAAGAACCTTCCATTTTGATAATATTTTTCCACAAAAGTGATGAACTTTGTATTTAGGTTAAGAAATACTAGAATTGATTCTCGTAATTTATCATACATATTCATGGTGCAACAATAAAATATCAAACTACATATTCCAATTCATAAAGCATGTATTTTAAAAGATACTACTCATATATAAAGGAAAGAAAATTACAAGATAAGAGGTGTTATACCATATTCATGTATCTGTGTACTTTGAGGACAAATTAAAGTTAGCAACTTCAATTCAACTAACAAATGCCAAAAATCTCAAGAATTGCGGGTACTACTTTAGAAAGAGATGGATAGAGTTTGAAAGTATTAGTGGTGCTCACTATAAATGTTACAATGAGTTAGCAAAGAGTAAGTAGTGAGTATTTATAGACGTTGTTGAAAGTTGAGATTAGGTTACTAGGGGATCATACAAAGCATATTTTGGAATCTTAGGATTAAATTATGCTTTAATTTGCTAAACCTATATGAAAAAGTTATTTTAGAGTAATTCTCCAACGTGGTAACTAATTGATTTTTACATTAACAGTAATATTATTTGAAAAAAAATATATGAAATGACGAAGAAAAGTAGCAGATTTCACCACAACTTATAGGTAGTTACAGGGTCAATCGCATCTTATTTAAAAAATAATGTAATATACTTGTAGGGCCATGTGAGAGAAAGAGAAAAACCTTTTTCATAATCTCTAATTATTTGGACCATTGTTTAAAGTATGTATATATGGTTTCATACATTGATACCAATTTTCTTTTCTTTTCCTCTCTATTAAAAATTTAAATAATACTTGTACATTATGTTGATTATTGCAAGAAAACTTACACAAATTGGGTAGATATGTAATTTATTAAAGTAAATAACAATTTATTTATTTATTTTTTTTTTAAAAAAAAAAAAGAAATGCACATACATGAAGAAAAAATGTGGTCATCTTAATACTTGTCAAAAAAAAAAAATGTGGTCATCTTAATACAATAATACTTAAAGAGTTAAGCAATGTATGTAGTAGTTAGTACATAGCATAACAAAAGAATATTTCTCCTCTACTAATAAAACAAATAACCAACAAAAAAGAAAATGATCTTTAATCAACAAGTTCATCCTAACAACTACTGCATTTTTTCGACTTTAGTCATGAAATTGTAATATAATATGTTAACAATCAAGAAATTCCTTAAGTATCAATGAATTTTTTTTTTTTGAATTATACACTAAGGGTCTGTTCTCATTGACTGAACTCAGCTGAACTGAACTGAACTGAATTGAGCTGAGCTGAACTGAACTGGAATGAACTGAATTGAACTGAACTGAACTGAATTGAACTGAACGGAACTGAAATGAATATTTTATAAGAGAAGGAAATTAGGAGCTGAATTGAACTGAAATGAATTTCAACATAAGAGAACATACCCTTAATGCTTTATATTCTTACTTGAAGCTAATATATGCACCTAACACGTATATATGATAGCACCTCTTCTCATATTGGGGAGGTCCACTTTAAAGATGCAGTCCATATTTATATATCAAGTGAAGTGAGGAGTGCCCCTTTCAATTATACAAACATTAGTAGTCTCTTTTTATTACTGTTCCAAATTCGAAAAAAAAAAAATTTTGAATCTAAGAAATAGGTGTTCTCTTTTTGCATTATAACACTGATTGACGTATAAATTTGTTACAAAATTTAAAATATTAATTGAAAAACTTACTTGTACTTATAAATAGTATTAAAACGTTATGATGTATGTATCTCTCTACTGAATGACTATCGAACACTCGAAATCCAAAAAAATAACAAACCATTATTATGTGCATATTTCTCTACATAGTACTATTAGATTTTGTTATAGCTTAGGTAGCAAAGCCCTATTAGATCAAGATATCTTTCATAAATCAAGCTTGTTTATGTATGTTAGAGAAATACTATGTATGTCTAATTTCCAAGTCATTGCTCATTAATTGTACCTCTACTTATTTATGAAAGGTTGTATCCTCGATGAGTGTACATGAGGTGGGCATGTAATACAAATATTAAAATTCATATAAAATCTTAAATTATAGTGCTTTAAATTTTCTTGCTTTTAATTCTTCTGACGCTGAATAGGTGTATGTGAGTCGAGGTACATACTAGAGTGATTAGGAATTTAGGATATTGAATCATCCGACTGTTCACTAATTCACATGAGACAACAAACATATGGCATGTTTAACATACATGAATAGCAATGCCTTTAAATATTTCTAAAATTTTGTGTTTAGCCTTCACTGACGTGTGACAATGCATCAGATTGTTGTATCACCTAGGGGTGAAAGTAATTCGGTTTAAAATCAAACCGAACCACAAAAACCAAATCTAATAAGCAATATGATTTGGTATCTTTGTTAATATGCATGGTGCAGTTTGGTTTCAAAAAAAAAAAAAAAAATTATGATTTGTGGTTTGGTTTGGGGTATAAATCATACCACCAAATTGAAATTTCACCCCTACAACAACTTGTATGAACCATGTGATTTTTAGTATGAAACAATGGAAGTGAAAATAAAAAAGAAGAAGATGATTGATGAATATGAACAATTATGGGAAAAATCACACCAATGTACGTTAATAATCCATTAAAAATGTACTACATAATATGCCTCTCTCTCAATCGTACGTGAAATTGATTAATTGACCATTAATTAACATATTATTCTTAACAATGTTAACATCATAATGTTTTGTTTCAAAAGAGTGCATACAAGATACATTATTACATACATATATAGCTCAATATTTAACTACTAATTAAATATTCAAAATTGAGGTTGTATGTTAAAACTTGATCGTAATGACTAATGACCATTATTTTTTGATAAACATTTATATTACTTTGTAATAAGCATAAATTGATTTTTACTCCGTGGCATATTATGGGGTGAATCACTTGTTGGACAAGGTATTAGTTAGGATAAGTTTATGGGGGGTCTTGGAGTGAGTCTTGAGTAGAGTCTCACTCAAGACTCAAGCGTTAATGTGCTATAAGGCTCATGTGAGTCTTGGAGTGAGTTTGTAAAATTAAAACTCTTCTCCAGACTTTGCATGTGACCAAAAATGCTGCAACATTTTCTCATTAGCCAACCAATTCTTGCCAACTCATCACCTAATGTTTATAATAATTTTTTAAAAAAATAATTAAAGATATTTAAAATAAATAAATAAATATATTTTTGAGAGGATAAGTGAGTCTGAAATGAGTCTTGGGATAATGTGTGAATTTGGAGAAACTCTTGTATAAATCTGAAAAATAAAAAAATATTTTAAAGTTAGTGGAAAGTTGATGTGGCAAAGTCTAGAGTCTGGGGATAAACTCACCCTTAGTGCCCATTTATTATTACTTTGTTGTTGAGTATTTTTTTGTTGACTTTTTAACATTGACTGTTGAATAATATGACTTCCGTGGTAGGATTGCATTATTAAAGGTACTTAATAAGCTAATAAAAATGGGACGTACTTAACAAGTACATACTCCTTAATTTAATTAATTGATGTTATTGTTATTCGTTGAGAAATGTAATAATTATGTGAAACCGTGGTTGCGAGATGAGTATTCAACGTTGGTTGATTTTGTTCATTTTTGTAAACCCACTAGGAAGTGAAAGACAACTAATTGAGAAATATGATTTAATTTGTAGGCTACTAGTGTAAATGAGCATCGAGTTATTATTAATTATGGTGGCAAATTAAGCCGCTTAAAAATGTCTTATTATAATCTAAACTTTAAAATTTAGAAATATCTTATTAAAATTTTTAAAGCAAGTGTCTTATTATACTCGGATTGAATTCGAATACTCCACTTTAAATCAGTATAAATTATTGTTCTTGAATTTATCTAAAATTAAAAACACTTATATGAACATATTTTTCCGTGAAATAAACACTACTCGTACCTATATAACCTAAACTTGAAGTCAAGTCATTATCATATTCTTCTACCATATAATTAAATGCATGGCACTTGCAAGTTCTAGTGTTTTATTAATTCAACTGGTGGCAAAATATTGTGGTACGTAATACGTGGTAAACAATCATGAAAATACACCCCACAGGCCACAACACTATCTTTTTTTAGCAAACCGTACCTACTCGAACATTACATAAAATTTATGCATCACTTGAATTAAATTACATACAAAACTTTGAAAAAGAAAGAAGAAAAAATGTGGGACAAAATAGAAAAAGAAAAAGGCGCCCCTTGTAAATCAGAAACTAGCAGCTCATACTATTAGCAAATATCAAAACAATAAGCGTTCGTTCGTTCGTTCGTTCATTCTTTATTTATTTATTTATTTTATTTATTTTGGTTAGTTGGTGGATGAATGAGAAAACTAATGTTTCAATTGAGTAGTACAAGTACATTTTAGCATATACTTAAATTTATATTTGTTTGTTTATGAATTTTCATCATGTGCTCATAACTTTTCTGCCTCTTACACATCAATCACGAGTAGAATTTTA